TCTTCTTTGATGGTATGTTGAAACAGTGAGACTGGCCAGCATCTCCCGACACTCAAATTTGGAAGCAACAGACTTTGGTAGATAGTATTATTTATATTTTGTAATCTCACGGATTATTTGTTTTATTTATAATATTTTTTAATTTATGTTTGAAAAAATATTTTTTACATACATTTGAAAAAGAAATATAAAAGTAAACAAAAAACATAGGTTTTTAAGGAAGATATGGTAGCACGATTATAAGCAATAAAATAATAATTCGCCCAAACGTCAGAAGTTTAATATGGCTACAAAAAGAGAGAACGGCTATACCTTTATTTTTTCTACTATGGCACTGAACATCAAGAAGCGAAACGCTGTCAAAAAGTACCTAAGTCTACTGTCAGTCGGTACCTAACTCTATGAATGTATTAGTAGAATTCTCAAGTCAACATAGTTGCAAAATGTCGGATTTAAAAATATTGAAAAAAAATTATTACATTTAAATTTTTATTTTAAAAGATTTCTTTAAATATTTTGCAACATAATTTATTTAAACAACAACACTTTTTCAGTTTTAATTTCAACAACAAAAATTTAATGTCAAAAAAATAAAAAATATTTTTTTCGTTTGTAAAAAATAGATTCTTTTCGGCAAAGAATATAAAGAAATTGGGGCTTGTCAGTTGGTACGTAAAGGAGTTGTCATTCGGTACCTAACTCTAAGTATGTAGTGGTAGAATTTTTGTATTAGTATTGGAGCTCCAACCACTTTCACCACACTTTCCAAACATACATACTTGCATAAAATCGTACATAAAAATTTTAGGAAAAATAAATAACATTTAAATTTCTACATTCTCAGATTTTTTAATTTATTTTGCCCACATCTAATCAGTAAACTTTTAATAAATATATTTTTCGGACTTAAAATCTCTATTTTTGCAAAAAAATAAGTTTATTTTAAATAATTTTTCATTTTCAATACCAAAATATACAACTTTGTTTTGTCAATTTTAATTTCAACACACAAAAATTAATTGTCAAAAAAAATTAAAAAAATATTTTTTTAGTTTGTGAAAAATAAAAACATTTCGGATTGTTAAATGCGATAAAATTGTGTAAAGAAATTAAAAAATAGTTATGTGTTTGTGAAAAAACGTCGTTCAAGTCCTATTATCCAGGTATTTTTGCGAAAAAGTTTTGAAGTATTGTGAGAGAATTGAGTTCTCACAAGTGTGTTGAATTTACACAGAACTCGTCTGTGAAGAGAAGGAAATGTTATTGTTGTAAAACAATGTCATAGTCCAACTTCTTATTATTCTTTGCTTTTCGGGCTATTAAATGTATTTAAATTGTGCAAAAAAATAATAAAATATAACTTTAAGTGATCAAAAATACTTTAAAGTGCTATAAGTCACGAATTTTCGCTTCAAAGTTTTGAAGTTTTGAGAGAGAGTGACATTTTTACATGTGTGTTGGAGTTTGTTGAGGCCATATAGTAGGGATATAGGCGAAACTGGAGGGGTTGTCAAACAAAACTTGTTATTCTCTTCACACAGACGGGTTCTGAGAGAATAAAACACACTTGAGAGAACTAAACGCACTCACAAAACTTAAAATTTTCTTCGCGAAATTGCGAGGATATTAGCACTTAATAGTTTTTCTTATCACTTAAACTTAATATTTATTATTTTTTTGCACACTTTTATTGTATTTAAAACTCCGAAAATAATTTATATTTTACAAACGAAAAAAAAAATATTTTTAATTCTTTGGCATTTCATTTTAATTAAAACTGAAAAAAAAAGTTGGAAATTTTTGTATTGAAAATGAAAAAAGTATTTCACATACTTTTTTTCTTTTTCCATTAGTGAGGAAAAAAATAACAAAAAGACGTGTTTATAATATGTTTTAAGATGAAATATCTTCTGAAAAAAAAAATAATTAACTAATATTTTCATTTACTAGTATATGAAATGCCAGTAACGTATCAAAAATACATTTATTATTTGGTACCTTTTGAACAACTGTGTTTATTTTTGTGCTTCTACTAATACATTCTCACCAGTTAGGTTTTTGACATCGGACTTAGGTCTTTGACAATTCCTTTCGCATATATGCTACTATATGGTTGAGGCTTTGTCTGGGGGTCTTAATTAAGAGACTAAAAGTCGCCATTGTTTGATACTTTTCCAGACCTTCAAACATTGCGCATGGAAAACTGTTCGGTAGAAACATTTGAAAAACCTCAGTTCAAGGGTGCTAGCAATTTAAAGAGTTTGTTTTTAGGACAAAACTTGCTAAAGAATATACCGAAGAATATATTTTTGGGAGCTGATAATTTAAACACGCTGTTTATAAATGACAACAAACAAACTTTGATTGGAAAACAATCAGTTGGACATATTGTCGTCGGGAATTTTTGCACATATGTATGACAAATTTAATCGATTTAAATTTAGCTGGAAATCTGTTGAAACTTTTCCAAAGGAATATTTTTGAGAAAAATGTCAGCTTAAAACGAATTAGTCTATCAAGGAATGGAGTGAAGAATGTCTTACATCATTTCAAATAGCCAAGACACTTGAATGCTTCTTTCGACACTTGAAAAATGTGTTTAGTCCAGCGGACATCGCACTGTATTGAACATTAAAACTACAACTTCACTGTTCGGACAACTCTTAAGAATCTTCAGAATGGAATCATAAAGGGCGTCGAAGCTTGAACTTCTGTAAAGAAACCCGAAGTGCAAATAGTGTACCCTGACTTAACCCAGAGACAGTCAAATTCGGTGTCATACCTGCCTGGTGGTTGCTGCCATTAGACACAACTTCATTGCGGATGTATATAGCAATGCCCCGATGGGAGTTAAAAAGCGATAGGACAGGTATGTAAAAGATAAGATGCCTTCTAAGAGGCCTTTTTTTAGCAAACACAAGAACTACGTCTCCAATTCCTTAGTTAGGAATTGTCATTGCGAGCAAGGCCTTACTCGCTCGCTTCTACTTACATGGCTTCTAAAGGGGTTTTTATTATAGCCCTATTGAAAGGCTTTCTTATAAAGGTCTTCTAAAAGGTTTTTAATTATAGTCTTATTAAAAGGCTTTCCGGCAAAGGCCTTCTAAACGGTTTTTAATTATAGGCATATTAAAAGGCTTTAAGATAAAGGCCTCCTAAATGATATTAAAGTAGGGATGGTAAAAGGCCCTCTAAAGAAGGGATGATAAAAGGAAGCCTAAAGTAGGAATGATAAAATGAATTCCGAAGTAGGGATGTTTGAAGGTGACCTATTGAAGATCTATTGGAAGCCCTTCTGATAAAAGATCATCTTCTAAAGATAGATTAAAATAAAAAAATCATTCCTGTATGTCATTTATTAAATATGTAATAAAAAAATTATAAACTATTTGAATTAAATAACTTTTTCATCCAAGTTTGTGAATTTGTTCCCTTAATATAACCTCCGTTTTCTTCAGAAAATCCTATAATAACATTAGGACAAATGCTTTTATAGAACAATAATCGTCTTTTGAAGTATCTGGAGACCATAACAAGTAGTAGGGTGCTTAGATTTTCAGATTTTAATACGTTAAGTAATTCATTAACACTTCTTCTAGTAGGACGAAAATCGTGATACCATTTTAATAATTTTTGAACCAATGTCTTTTTTATTAGAAATTAAGTCGACATCACTTTGTGTATCACGATTTTCGTCATCTTCGAAATTAAATATCTCATTTGAACATTTTTTATGGAAAAAATTCAAATTTTAAAAAATTCCCCAATATTCTTCATACAAATTTTTTACGTTAACGAAAGTTATGTTTTATAAAATGGGGGGGTAAAACTCATGTTTTCACGAAAATTAGGTAAATAAAAATTATATTTCAATTTAGGTGAGAAACATATTAAACTCTGTTATCTGAATCTGGTTTAATTTTTAAATTCCTTGTTTTGTTTTAAAGTTATTTAAAAAATAATAAAATATCATTAAGCATTCAAAGCCATTTTTCTCGAAACGACTGTTTTTGGGTTATGCCGGTCTTGTAGTAAACAAGCGATATGTATGTATGTATGTATGTATGTATGTATGTATGTATGTATGTATGTATGTATGTATGTATGTATGTATGTATGTATGTATGTATGTATGTATGTATGTATGTATGTATGTATGTATGTATGTATGTATGTATGTATGTATGTATGTATGTATGTATGTATGTATGTATGTATGTATGTATGTATGTATGTAGGTGAGAAACATATTAAACTCTGTTATCTGAATCTGGTTTAATTTTTAAATTCCTTGTTTTGTTTTAAAGTTATTTAAAAAATAATAAAATATCATTAAGCATTCAAAGCCATTTTTCTCGAAACGACTGTTTTTGGGTTATGCCGGTCTTGTAGTAAACAAGCGATATGTATGTATGTATGTATGTATGTATGTATGTATGTATGTATGTATGTATGTATGTATGTATGTATGTATGTATGTATGTATGTATGTATGTATGTATGTATGTATGTATGTATGTATGTATGTATGTATGTATGTATGTATGTATGTATGTATGTATGTATGTATGTATGTATGTATGTATGTATGTATGTATGTATGTATGTATGTATGTATGTATGTATGTATGTATATACATAGAAGACAAAGAGGAAATCAATGAAACTAAAAGTTAGGTTAAACAATAAAAATATAAACAAATGAATTACTGTACGATCGTTAAAGAAGCTGTAAAAATGTACTAAATTAAATTAGATCGAGTGATCACAACGGATACTTATGTACATATGAATGTAATTATAAACAAATCAGGGAATCAGCGCTATAACGTTTCAAAAAACAAGGGTGAATTATAAATACATGTATCATAACTACGTATTAAAACATAAGCCGAGAAGATTTAAAATATATTTTTAATAGGGGATTTTTCATATTCAGCATGAAATGTGAATGGCGTTGTCTTTTATGTGGAAATTGTATTAAACGAAATTTTAGTTGAAAAGAAGGGATCATAGAAAGCACATCATAGACGCGGTTTGCCGCAGTCTAATATGCCTTATTAAGGCACAAGAAATTTTCAAACCGATTTTTTTAAACAACAAAAAATGAGTCTGTTAAAATTATCGATGGGACTATTTTTAGTCCTTTTGGTAAATGAAGTTCGCTGTGGACAATTGCGAAGGATATGGATGCAAGATCATTGTCAAAATGGAGTTTGCAGTGGAATTGAGATTGGACGAAACGATTACGTTATAATGTCTCAAGAGCCCTTTGAAAAGCAAACAATGCTCACTTTCGTCAATTCATCAATTAGGAAAATACCACACCTAATGTTTGATACTTTTCCAGACCTTCAAATATTGCGCATGGAAAACTGTTCGGTAGAAACATTTGAAAAACCTCAGTTCGAAGGTGCTAGCAATTTAATGAGTTTGTTTTTGGGACAAAACTTGCTAAAGGATATACCGAAGAATATATTTTTGGGAGCTGATAATTTAAACACGCTGTTTATAAATAACAACCAATTAAAAATATTAAATAATCAAAGTTTCAATGCTTTAAAAGAATTAAAAAAACTTTCATTGGAAAACAATCAGTTAGACATATTGCCGTCGGGAATTTTTGCACATATGAACAATTTATTCGATTTAAATTTAGCTGGAAATCTGTTGGAACTTTTCCCAAGGAATATTTTTGAGAAAAATGTCAACTTAAAACGAATTAGTCTAGCAAGGAATCGGTTTAAAGTTTTTGAATCAGATTTATTTAAAACTCAAACTCATCTGTCGTTTTTGGATCTTTCTGGGAATATATTGCAGGATTTGACACTAAATTTACCAATTTTAGATTCTGTTGTAGTCAATAATTGCGATTTACGTAAGTTGAATGTTTATGGCATCGTCAAAGAGCTAGAATTGCGTAATAACTCCTTAAGAGAAATCCCTCATATTCCAAATGCTCTTAACCTCACAAGTTTGGATTTATCATTGAATCCGTTGGGTAGTTTACAAGGTCATCCTTTCAGGAGATACACCAACTTGTTGCGGTTAAACTTAAGTAGTACCAACATGCACGAGATCAGTGAAGGTGTATTTAAAAAACAAGCTCAATTAAAGTTACTAGATATATCATCTAATTCCCTATTCAATTTGAAATTTATCGTATTCGATAATTTGAAAAACTTGCAATATTTTCACTTTCAGCAGAATAATTGGAATTGTGATTTTTTACAACTGCTAATGAATTCATTCGTTAAAAAACTCAATATATCTTTTATGGAAGACTCAGTTGCTCCTGAACTAGTAGATGACTACGTAGATGGAATTGCGTGTTGGTATGAATATAATAATAAAAATCCTAAGAAGTGTGACGATGGTTCTGATGCAGCCCTGGAGTTGGCGATAGTTCGGAACGATATTAAGCAAATGATGGATACAATGGAAAAAAAATTTGTCAAAGTCTATCGGTTATTAGAAGAAATGAAAATACGATTATAAATATGAAAAATATGATATTCATAAGTTGAAAGAATCCATGTCAATGCCGGCAGCAGTTGAATTTGTCATTTGCAATTTCAATAAAATTAATCACAGACTCTTTGCAGTCCAAATTATGACTTGAAGAAAATTCAAAAAAGAAAACAAATTTCAAAAAGTGTATGTAGATAACTTTCTATAAATCGATTTACCTTTTCAGTTTGATTGGCGCATATGCTAGCTTTACAATATCATATATTTTTGTTTCAAAGTGTGTATCTCGAAAACAAAAATTCTTTAAAAATCGCATCGAAGTCTTTCAATTTTACAAAAACTTTTGTTAACAGTATGTACAATATAGAAAAGATAAATTCAGTATAGTATAATAATTAGTTTTCATATTTGGAAAGATTGACCAATGTAAAGTATTAAACGAATCGAATATTTGAGAATATATAAAACACTATTTACGATATCTAAATTAGATATAATAGAGAGTGTTAATAGTTCTAATAGAACTTTTGTGTTTTTGGGGCATAAATAATTAAAATCATAATAAATGTATGTACCTAATTACTAATATAAATATATATGTTTTTTTTTTTTGTTATTATTGACTACTTCTAATGATAAAAAAGTTGTTTCTTAAAAACAAATGTTTATCATTTTATCAATACAAACTTTATATTTCGAAATTTAATTTGTTTGTTTCCATAAAAACTAAACATTATCTTATATATTTTTACATATGCAATTTTTTACATAAACTTGGTAATTACTATCTAATTTTAATATATATATATATATATATATATATATATATATATATATATATATATATATATATATATATATTATTATATCAATATAATAAATTCTATTTAAGAATTTAATTGTAAAAAGTTTTCTTGTTCATTAAATTTGAAAACTTTATCTGTGCAGTTTATTGAAATTGGAAATATCAAATGTAAAATCATTGTTTCGGTTTTGGGATGGGATCATCTAAATATCAATAAAAAAGTATAAACTTATTTTAATCACTTTAATCAGTTATATTACTCACATTTTATCCTTCTATTTATTATATCACATCCTCATTTCATAAAACTAATTATTTTTAAATGAAATATGTTGTATTAAGAATACTTCACATTTTTTATATTTAAATTTAATTCAACAATAATGAGGATATTATTATATTACATATTTAGTTTATAATTCAGGAATATTTAATATTAAGGACCGTACAATATAAGCATATTATATGCAACTTAATGTTAGTCTAATAAAAAACCTTTGTATGAAACGTATAATATAAAATAAACTTATTCTATTTTTAGTGATTCATTTCGGACTTTTGTATATTAAAGTACATACTTTTTAATGTTGTAAATTCTAAAAAATTCTTCTCAATTTTTTTTGTATGTACTAGATTATTTTTGTAACCTCAATGAGCTGGTTTAATCAACCAGCGAAATGTGCACATTATTCCAAAGTAATACATATTATTTTATTCAAAATTTAACTATAATTAAAATGTGATGCAAATGTGAAGAAAAATAAAATACAGGAGTTCTCATATACCAATTCCATTTCGTTATAGTCCATAGAGTACGAATATATTATTAGTTTTCCCCTATCACTTCGTTAATTTGCTTTTTAAGACCAAAAAATGTGAAAAGAGCCATTTTGAAATTTTAATTTTGAAAAATACAAATTCATAAATCCAAATTATATTTACTTCTTTTAGCTGCAAAACCGCCATTTATGCACTAAAATTATATTAGCTTATACAGTGTATTTTCAGATAAGGATGAAATTTCAGCCTTCAAAGATAGCTTTTTTTGAAATAAAATAAATGCAAAATAAATCCAGTGATTAAAAAAGCCCATATTATGTTTTTAAGTTGAGTATTTTAAATATATTCGAAAAGTACCTGACTATTCTCTATATTAGTTTTTTATTCAATCAGCAGTACGCCCCCTACAACGCGTACAACATTTGAGAATTCTAGTTGCTATATTTTTCCAGATGTAAAAATTTAATTCATATGCGAGGTACCATGTCCTATTGCTATCCCCAAATTGTTCACATGTATTTCAGTGTTGCTCGTGCAAAATTTGAGGATTCTAGATATAATAGTTTCCAGATATACAAATTTTTTATATAATTCTAATTAGGCAAATACTAACATGGATGTCAAAACTGTTTTTGCAAAATTTGAGCATCCTTCTCCAATAGTTCCCCAGATATACGAATTTTTGTATTAAATTCATATGGGAAGTACCACGTTCGGACGAAATTTGAGTGCTCCAAATTTTATAGATTCCCAGATATACGAATTTTGGTACTAACTTTATATGGGGGATGACACGCACACTATTTCTTATCCGTCTATTATTGCACAAAATTTTATTGGGAACTGTAGCTGTTATATTTTTCCAAATTTACGTGATTTGGTATTGGCTAGCAATATGGGTGTGGAATGTGCCACACCCACTATTGCTAGTTCGCCCATTTTTTTCCCCAATTATTCATATATGTGTCAAAGTTGTTCGTGCAAAATTTTTATTGGGAACTGTAGCTGTTATAGTTTTCCAAATTTACTTCATTTGGTATTGGTTTCAGTTTCAGTTTTTTACTTTCAGGGACAACATAGTAAGGACATTTGCCAGACGCGTTTCTTAAACAAATTGCCTCACTTTTAGAGGCATTTATTTTTATTCCCCAAAAATCATAAAATTCTTTAACTTTAACTAAGTGTCCAGAGACAATTTTAAGTGCTTCTGGGGGAGATTCGTTGTGTGCATTGAGTAGTGAATCATCTGCATAGAGTACACCTATTGAGTTTAATAGGTTGTGGGGAAAGTCATAAATTAAAATATTGTATAAATGAGGTGCAAGAATTGAGCCTTGAGGTACTCCACAAGAAGCTTTTGGAACTTTGATAAAGCGTCCACAGTCGAATGCCCTTTTTTAAAGACAACTTACAAATTTGGTATATAGTCATCATTTAAACCAATATCCATTTTCTCACTAATAAATTTTTCAAATAATTTAATAATTTAAGTTCCTTAGCTTGAGACATAATGTTGTCTAAATTTATAAATCTGTTTGAATTTTGATTGTTTAGAGCCGAAAATGATCAGAAGTCAAGAAGCTACTTATTTCTGAAATATCTCTTTCCAGTGTATTGTCACTATATATCCTCGAAAAATGATTTTTAAGTGAAATTAATTAAATTAAAAATTAAATTATATTAATAATTACAATTGTGAAATAATTTGTGAAAAAAATATAAATAAAATATTTACAAGTCAAAATTTAAATTCTACCAAATATTTTTAACATTTATATTTCAAGATTTTCGACGATCATTATCACTTCGCTCATCGTAAAGTTTCTAAGCGTTCTTTGACGGCTGCTTTGTCTCATCAAATTCGACTAGATGAAGATGATCGAGTTAGTTGGGCTCAGCAACAAATTGCAAAATCTCGGCGAAAGCGTGATTTTATACATATGAGACCTTCACGTACCTCTTCTATATCAGCTTATTCTATGGTGGATGCAGTTCCTTTCAACGATCCAAAATGGCCACAAATGTGGTATTTGGTCGGTATTTTAATATTGATATTAATATATACATATGTACATTTCTTATTGGAATATTAACGTTTTTAGAACCGCGGTGGTGACTTGGATATGAATGTAATACCAGCCTGGAAAGAAGGTATAACTGGCAAAGGTATTGTAGTAACAATTTTGGATGATGGTCTGGAATCTGATCATCCAGATATTATTAGTAATTATGTAAGTTTTAAAGTTATAAATCGAACGATATAATATACATTCATAAATATAATGGTTTCTTGACATTTTAGGATCCCAAAGCATCGTATGATGTGAATAGTCATGATCCGGATCCAATGCCCCATTATGATTTAACAGACTCAAACCGCCACGGCACCAGATGTGCTGGAGAGGTTGCTGCTACTGCCAACAATACAATATGTGCTGTGGGTATTGCATTTGGTGCCAGTGTTGGCGGTGTCCGAATGCTTGATGGTGATGTCACAGATGCGGTAGAAGCACGATCGCTTTCACTAAATCCACAACACATCGATATATACAGTGCTTCTTGGGGTCCAGACGATGATGGGAAAACAGTTGATGGTCCAGGAGAGTTAGCATCTAGGGCTTTTATAGAAGGAGTAACCAAGGGAAGAAACGGAAAAGGAAGCATATTTATATGGGCTTCAGGAAATGGAGGACGCGAACTAGACAATTGTAACTGTGATGGTTATACAAATTCAATTTGGACACTGTCAATATCTAGTGCCACCGAAGAGGGTCATGTTCCCTGGTATTCGGAAAAATGTAGTTCCACTTTAGCAACAACATACAGTAGCGGTAGCCAAACAGAAAAACAGGTTGTTACGACAGATTTACATCACTCATGTACTGTCTCTCACACTGGAACTTCAGCTTCGGCGCCTTTAGCAGCGGGCATTGCTGCCTTAGTGTTGGAATCAAATACCAACTTAACGTGGAGGGATTTACAGCATATTGTTGTTAGAACTGCAAAACCAGCCAATCTTATTGATCCTAACTGGTCTAAAAACGGAGTGGGACGTAGAGTAAGTCATTCATTTGGTTATGGTTTAATGGATGCATCAGCGATGGTCAGGTTAGCGCGGAATTGGAAAACCGTGCCGGAACAACAACGTTGTGAAATAAATGCTCCACATGTTGATAAGTAAATTTTATACGACAAATGCAACAACAATACATAGCAATAACATTTACATAATTCTATACATTTCTAGAGTTATTCCACCCAAAGGTCATATAACCTTACAGTTGTCAGTAAAAAATTGCTTGAATATTAACTTTTTGGAGCATGTTCAAGCTAAAATAACTTTAACATCACAACGAAGGGGAGATATTCAACTAAACCTTATATCACCAGCAGGCACTAAAGTTACTCTATTAACACCACGGTGAGTTGACTGTTCAATGTTTATTAACACTATTTATAAAGCATATTTCCTCCCGTTTTTGCCATTTTAAAATGCTTAAAACTTCAAACATTGTGTATATATTTCAATATTTTTTTTAAGTGTTATTACTAGGGTATTCACGGGATGCACTATGTAAGGTGAAAATGTAAAGGCAGCTGATTTTTATTTGTTTATTAAAAAAGTGTAGCGGTTGTGTCAAAATTTTTGTTTTCAAGTTATATTATAGGTATTCAATTTGTCAGGTTTTTTACTTATTCGGTTTATTCAAGAAATAGTTATTTGATATGTTTAGTTAGCCGGTTAATAATCGGATAATTCGAAGTAATTCGCTTAATCTAATAAAAGGAAACTAGATGTTTTATATTAATTTTATTGCTTTTTATAACATTTTTCTTCCTAAAACAAACCAAATTATAATTTTTCACTTCTTTGAGTTCAATTCTATGTAAATTTTTTTAATTCAGTTTTAGTTTTCAAAAATTATAAATTATTTCTTTTCATTTGAAATATTTTTCAATATAAAGAAATTTTATGTTTTTAAGATTTTATCAACTAGCCCCAAAATTCATACGCTCCAATGTATTCCAAAAATATTGGCGATTTTTATTTTTTTGTCAACCAAAAAGTGATATAGATTGTTAAAAATGTATTGTTTTTTTGTGCAATATTTCACGAATTAAATAATATTTTTGCTCTCCTGAAAAATAGGCTATGATTTAGTACTTTTTGAATATAAGTAGTGTAT